TAAGTTTCTAAGTGCGGAAAATTCTAAATCTAGAAAAGTTGTGAAAGTCTCAGATGAGAGCTCTAGATTTCGTCCCTCAGCTTCTGCCCTATGCCTCCTCCTTATATACTCCTCCTTAGGCGGTTTTAGTCTTTCCATTTTGCTCGAAACCGAATATTTCGGGAACTTTCCATATCTGTCGATCCTTCCTTTTCTTCTGTGGAAATCTTCTATTTATCTTCAAACTTGCCTTTTATCTTCCGTCTGCGAGTAGACCGTCAAAGCGTTATCGTATCTTCGTGTTTGATTTCGTTAACGTCACGAGATGGGTTTTTATCGTGTTTTAGGACCTTTTGGGCCGTTTTACGATAAAAACCGTTTTACGACTTTAACGAGACTGTTTCCTGATCCGATGCCATTTTTTTACGATTCTCTCGACGTTTTTTATTTAAAACGAGTTTTTATGATTTTAACGAGAAATCTCGAATAAATCGTATAGTTTAGGCAATGTTCGGTGTTTCGTTTAACCGTTGCCGTTTTATACGATTTCCCCGAGTTCTTTCCGAGAAAGCGAAGTTTTACGGGTTTTATCGTAAAACTTGAATGATAGGTCGGATCGAGACGGAACGGGAGACGTTTCGGCCGTGGTTCAGAATGCGACTGTGTCGAAAGACGTAAGTTTTGAATCCGGGATGCGGGAGACCGAGGCTCGGGATGGTCGGCTCGACGTACGGCGAGCTAGTTCAGCTTGGCTAGGTCGCCATTTGGCGAACTAGGCGAAAAGAACCAGTGGGGCAAAGTCAGCACCTCTTAGTTCGCCCATTGGCGATCTAGCCGGGACGGGACTAGTTCGCCAATGGGCGAACTAGTCGAGATGGACTAGTTCGCCCATCGGCGAACTAAGCCGGGCCGGCTTAGTTCGCCCATGGGCGAACTAGTATAGTGTCCCTAGTTCGCCCATGGGCGAGCTAGTCGTGACTAGTTCGCGTTTTACGGCTGTTTCGGTTTTTTGCGGTTTCGTAAAACGATTCTTCGAGTTTTATAAAACGTTTCTTCGAGTTTTATAAAATGATTCTCGAGTTTTATAAAACGATTTTCGAGTTTTATAAAACGATTTTTCGAGTTTTATAAAATGATTCTCGAGTTTTATAAAACGATTCTTCGAGTTTTATAAAACGATTCTCGAGTTTTATAAAACGATTCTTCGAGTTTTATAAAACGTTTCTTCGAGTTTTATAAAATGATTTTCGAGTTTTATAAAACGATTCTTCGAGTTTTATAAAACGATTCTCGAGTTTTATAAAACGATTCTTCGAGTTTTATAAAACGATTCTTCGAGTTTTATAAAACGATTCTCGAGTTTTATAAAACGGTCCTCGAGTTTTATAAAACGATCCTCGAGTTTTATAAAACGATTCTTTTTATATTTCTGCGGGGAATTTCGGCCATTGATTCCGTCATACCGATTTTGACCCCAACACACAAAACTACACAATACATCAACAACGTATCCAAACCCCGCGCTTGCGCGGGGACTATGCATCTAGTTGTATGAATAGAATACAACAAAAACTGTTCTTTCATAACTAAATATATGGTGGAATGATTCTCTTTGTATTTTATCTATTTTGTTGTGGAATTGGTGGAATGAATATTCCACTCCATTAATGTCAAATGGTGAATTATTTTTTGGAATCAATGGAATAAATCATTCCACATCATTCCATTCCAAAAATTAACAATGGAGTTGCAGCCTTTGAGTTTTTGAGGGCTTCAACTGAATTCTAATTCGGATATTTCGGTTTGGATCTTCGGTTCTGCATTTTCTTCTCAAGCCTACCTGCAACATGCCCTAGTGAGGAACGCTGCGTTTCTGGGGACTAAGTAATCAAACTCTCAATCAACGTTGGTAAACACATGGATTAGGGGTGTCAATCAAGCATGCAATGTTCCAATACGGTGCCGCTTTACAAACAAGAAAGCTCTTCGTTTAATGGGCCGCCCACAGTATAAGAAGCCTGCAACATGCCAACGGTGCCGTTAAGTAGTGAAAAAAAGTATAGAGAGTCTTCTTCTTCAGCAGCCAAAATACATCAAGTCCTTGAACAAAGACGATGGAGGAAGCGAAGAAACCAGAAAACGTTACGGTGAAGAAAATCGCTTCATCATGCGACGTCGAAGCCCTGAAGAAGTGCTTGGAAGAAAACAAAGGAGATCACTCCAAGTGCCAGTCTCAGGTAGAAGCTTTCAGATCCTCTTGCGCTCTTCCTAAACCCAAGACAAAACCCTAATTTTTCAAATTCCGACACTAGGAGAAAGAGAAAGAGATACTTCTTCTTCTGTAATAAACTCAGACCAATCTGGTCTGTACGATAGTGATTCTGTAATAAACAACTGTTGTTTTCTACACATAACCATAGAAACATTTTGATTCGATTCATCGACGCAAATCTGATTTCTCGAATGTCAAATTACCAGACTCGTCTCTCTCAAAGAGACTTTCGATCAGCTCGTCCCAACTAACACCACGGTTCCTTCTTCTCTTGTAAGATGGACGCACAGAGGATGATGATGCGGATTCTCCCACCATTGATGCAATCGACTCTGTTTCTTCTTCTTCTTCTGTTTCAGCTTCTTTGTTAAATGTTCCGTACTCAGAGGAGATAGAGTCAGCGTGAGGAACGTCTAAGGTTACTGCTCGTCTTAAAGCTGCTTTGTACTCCAAGTTGTGTTCTCTTGCTAATGATTCTTGTCTTTCCATCCTTTGCTTCTCTGGTATCTCCATTCTCTTCTCCTTCTCCAACATTAGCTGAAAAATTTGCACATAAATAACCAGTGAAGATTTGTTGTATAATGAGGTTGTTGGTGAGAAACTTACGTTGAGAGCTCTCTGAGCTTCTCGTTCGATCCAAATGATGGCGTGGTCTGAAGTTGCGTTACAAGAAAGAACAATGTGTTCGAACCTTCCGTCTACTGGCACTGCTGTCTTCACAACCGGAGGGAACCTTCCTAATCTGCAACAAACAGTTAACCAAAAAATCAAATGCCCAACTAAGTGAGCTTACTTTTCTTGAGCATGTGGCTGCTTTGGAACACATGGTTCTTTTATTTAAGTGTGTGTAATATGTACCTGCAAGGCTTTCTCTCAACTATGTGATACATGCGACCAGGAGCGTAAAGCCGCCTAGGATCTTTGAGCATCTTTTGCTCTGGAACACATGTATCCTTCATGCACCTTATGCACAGCAAACATGGCAAACTGTCCACACAAAAATAAAAAAGAAATACAAACACTAAACACAAACCCATTGCAACTTACAAGTAAGCAGAGTAATGAAAGGTGTTATACTAACAAAAGCTCTTTGCAAGTAAAAGACAACTCTACAGAATACCCTTTACCAAAAAAACTTCTAAAATCTCCCAAAGATTAGCATGCAAAACATATAAAAAAAAAAACAATTAACTTTCAAAATGTCTGCTTTTACCTAGCGAAACTGGACTTGTGAGAATGCTGCAACCTATATTTGAATTTTTCCGGAAAGAAAAGAACGTACATTCATAAACCCTCTGCATACAGAATGGTCTACCTAAGATAACATTACCAGAACAGAGACTTGAATATGTCTTCTAAAGGCGTAGCTGTCCTTGGCAAGAAGTCATCCTAAAACAAACAAACAAACAAAAAACTTTAACTGCAACATTTAGAATAAAGTTAACCCATTTGATATATTTAACACACACCTGAAGCACAACAGAGTTGATCACATCCGCATATCTAACAGCCAAGTTCAAAGACATACACCTCGCAGGCGCAATAGCAAAACACCTAACCCTCTTCCTCTCAATATCCCCCAACTTATCGGGATGCCTAACCACCAACAAAGCCAACATCGTAGCCACACCAGACCCAAGCGAATGTCCAGCAAAAGTCAAACTATAACTCGGATACCTCACCACCAAGTCTCTCAACACCTCACACTCCTCATCCAACACCCAACCAGCAGCCTTCAACAACCCATTATGCACATACCCACCATCAAACTTCCTCTCACCAAGCTTGTTATCCAAAAGCACAGCGTAATCACTCTCTTTAGCCAGATTCAACCCTCGTATCGCAACAACAACATCTCTATGATCATGATCAAGATACAGTATGTAAGCTGGAGCACGGCCTTGAGTGTCTTCATAAGTCTTTTTCAGAAGTAACCAGTCAGGGTTTATACCGTATCCGTCTGGAGGCTCCCACAAAGGGTTTCGGATATCGTCCTCGTAAACCGATAAGATGTAACGACAGAACCGAGGAACCGGTTCGAATTCATGAGGTGTTGCGAGTCCCCAGTCTTTGCTGTCGTGACCGGCTGTGTAGAGACAGCGTTTGTAAGCCCAACGTGCACAGCCGAGACAGTAGACGCATTCTAGAAGAGGGCAGCAACCACATAGAATCGACATGAACAGGTTTGATTCATGCAGAGTTATAACACCATCATACAAAGCATAAACTTTTAATGTTCAGACAGCGAAAGTTAAGAACTTGTGGACACCCAGCTGAAGAATCTTAACAGAACAGCAGTTATGAAATAACAATGTAAGAACTTGAAGAAATGGGAAGGAAAAAAAGTCAACTTTGGGAGGATTGAATTGAAGATTTGAAGTTGTAGTTTCTACTCTTGGGAGAATATCAAGAACTTGAAGACAAGGGAAGAGGATTAGATCTCAGTACAAGACACGGTTTCTCTGAAGCTGATAAAGAAGAGAGCGGGAAGTTTTGTCCCGTGAAAAACGGAAAAGACGAAGATGAAATGGAATTCACGCCACTGTAGATGAAGAAGAAGAAGGCAAAACTCGCCGGACTCGTGCCTCTCTTTTCTCTCTTTCTTGTGGCGGATTGCGGCAGTGAATTTGGGAAAATTGCAGAGCTTTTGTTGGTGTTATGTTGTGTGAAGTGGGAAAATAATTAAAAGTTACTATCTATTACAAAAAATTTTGAAAGTTAATCAATCACTAACTTGCTGTTAATTGTTTTTGTTGAGATAAGATATTAAGACTAGGGCTGGGCATTTTATCCGTTATATTTGATTCGATTCGTTTTTCGTTTCGATTCGATCCGAAAATTTCGGATATCCGTAAACTTTCGAATCAAAGCAAATACTAAAATTCAATATCCGTTAAAATCGAAGCAAATCACAAATAGTAAATTTTTGGGAAGCGGATATCCGATCCGATCCGTAAATATATAAATATATGTATATCTTGATTATATTTAACATTTTAAATGTATAAAATTATATAATTATTATTCTAGCATATGATTTTGAACAATTCTATTCAAATTATTACTTATATAAAAAGTATTACATAAAAAGAAAGAAAGAAAATTATGACAATTATATTTTTTTCTTAAATTTTGTGTTATTATAATTGTAACTTAAGCTTAAAAAAATTACAAAATATATAAATTCACTAGTTCTTTTAAGTTTTATTTTATATATCATCCAAAAAACTTTTTTGCAAAGCAAATTTGTATCAAAATCTTAAGATTATTTGTATTAATCAAAATGGATGAGATATCCGTAAATATTCGTAAATATCCGCAAATATCTATTTATTTTCCGGATATCCGTTTTTCCGGATATCCGTATTTTTTCGAAGCAAAGCAAATACCAAAATTAGATATCCGTAACATTCGAAGCAAATCACAAA